CACCAACCTGTTATGTGGTGCTTTAAAATCTTTTTACACCTGTAGTTTACACAGTGATCCACAGACTAGTTGTTCAAACTGCTCAAGTTCCCTTTTTTCCTTCAAGGTTTTCTCTTCTAGTGACCCATTGGTTTGGTTTCTTTTGTGTCATTACTAGTTCTATACTTCTTAATGTTGTTCTTTGTCATCTTGAACTTGGCAAATATATGTAAGTATTACTTTCTCAGAACCAGAAGATCTGGACTCTGCACGTCTGTCTATTTTGTAGATTGTTTTGCTGTTTCTAATTCATGTTATCTTGCCTCCATATATGTCGGGTTATTTTTTTCCTTTGTTCCAGGTATTATTTCTAGAAACAATAATAGGTGCAGCTTTGTTTTTTCTCCAGAGAAGATTTACCTGTGCTGCTTTTAGTCACCTAGGAGTAGTAGTCTTCTAAGTCACTGATTCTAATTCCAAGCACTAAAGTAATTTTAAGCTGTACTGTGGTCCCTGGTGACAAACTGCCTGGTTCTGATTCACCCATGTTGCTACTGGCAGCCTTTTGGGGTCCCAAGGGAGAGTGGTTTGCCTGTAACCTCCTCCTTGTCAGGTCTTAGTCTCTGATCCCCTCTAGCTGCATGAGGCTGTCAAAACCTCCCCACGGAGCCCTTCCTGCTCCTCAGGAGTCAGGAAATTCCCCCAGGGGATAACCTCAAACCTGAACTGCTCCTCCACAGCTTCCTTCCACTCCTGAATTCTGGCTCTTTAATTCTCCACCTGCTTGTTAGTGCTCAAATGTCCTTACGCACAGGTTTTCTGTATTTTGTTTGCGTATTCTAAATCTCCCCAGCACGGCTGTTGGTTCAAATTACCTAGTCTGTCATTACTAAAGTGAAGGCCTAATATCCTGCTTCCGTAAATTAGAGTATTGGGTCCACGGAGACTTGATCGTCGCTAATTAAGAGCAGAGACAACCATGACCCAAATATCCTAATTCTGTGTCGTGTTAATTCTATTACACCTGTACCAAAGCAGATGGCTGGATTTAGTGGCATTTTGGCATTCATGTGCCCAGTACTGCTTCTTTCTTTCACCAGCCAGTCACCATCTTACTGGCCCAAGAAACTTGAAGAAAATCCTCAGTGAAAATCCCCCACCCTTCATTTCCCCATATCATGAAGTTTGTATTAAATTCGTAGTATTCTTTTTTTTCTTTTTGTATTCAGATATCGGTTTATTACATATAAATACACTGATTTAGGGTAGTTTCAGAAAAATAAATCTTCAGGAATAGCAATTAACATTAGTATTATCATGTCAGTTTCAAAACCAATTCTTATCTTTTTCTGTTCAGGCTGGAGCGAGAGCACAGCGGTAGTATTCTTTTTTAAATAATATGCTACAATATCCCCTTATAAGTGTTCCATTTAGAAATTTTTACAGTTTTAGTTGATGTTTGATCATTCATTACCATTTTCCAAATTAAGGTTCTACATGTGCTCTAGAATATCAATCTCTGCCTGATATCTATAAGCCAAGAATTGATGTTCCAAAAGACGGAAGAATTTTCTGTTACTTATTAGTGTATAACAAGCCCTCTGAAATGTAGTGCTTGAGATAACAAATTTACCATTTCTTGTGATTCGGTGAGTTGAGTGTCCAGTTCTACCACTGGTTGTTAACTAAGACTCACCTCTCTGGGCAGTGGAGTTTAACTTGTATTGTGGCCGAATGGCTGAGATATGTGGCCTTTCTTCATCAGTCCTGCAGAGTGATAGCACAGCAGGTAGGACATTTGCCTTGCACGCGACCCACACGGCTAACTCGAGTTCTGTTCCTCCGCCCCTCTCGGAGAGCCTGGCAAGCTACCAAGAGTATCTTGCCTGCACGACAAAGCCTGGCAAGCTACTCGTGACATAATCGATGTGCCAAACACAGTAACAACAAGTCTCACGATAGAGACGTTACTCGGCCTGCTCAAGCAAATTGATGAACAACGGGAGGACAGTGCTACAGTGCTACAGACTTCAGTCCTAGGTTTCTTCACACGAGAAGCAGTCCCAGGGGGCAAAGCCTCTTGCGGCTGAGTCTCCACAAGTAACTCAATTAAAGGTTCGGTTGATTAAAACAGTCACAAGGAGAGCCTGAGCTATAGTACAACACGTAGAGCATTTGCCTTGCATACATCTGACCTGGGTTTAATCTCCAGCATCCCGTAAGGTCCCTGAAGCACCACCAGGAGTAGGTCCTGAGTGCAGAGTCACATATAACTCCTGAGTATTGCCTCTCTCCCCCCCAAAAAAACAAAAAAACTCACAAGGCCAGACAAGGATAGAAAACCTTCCTCATGAGGGATGTGGTTATGTCTTTTCATATAAAAAAAGATGAGAATAAGGTCAGTGTGCTAGGCAGGCTAATAACCCCTGCATCCCAGCTCCAGTTCTCTGTCATCTGCTAGGTGCCCTGCAGTTCAGTTCTGACATTCACTACCTGGAATAGCAGATATAGAGATGCACAGAGTGGCACAGTCCAGAAGGTCTAGGTGCTCCCAAGAGCTGGAGCTTCTGTCCCCATGGAGTCAGAGTACATCATGATCCCAATTCATCAATGTCTTCCCAAAGCAGGACGCTTTTTGGTGCTATAATTTCTTTAATAGGGTTCCGTTGCATAAGCCTGATTGATTAAATCATCATTGCTCTGTGGATTATTTTCCACCTGGCTGCAGAGATGAGACAGCTGAAAGTTTCCATCCTTTAATCACATGAAGGGTTTTTCCTATTGTCCTGTTTCCTAATCCTCAGATCCTATGAACATGTTACTTTATGTGGTGATACGAGATTAAAGTGTACATGGGAGTTAAAGATGCTAAACAGCTGCCTTTAAAATGGAAACTTATCCTGCCTGCTCTGGGCTAGAGCGATAGCACAGCGGGTAGGGCGTTCGCCTTACAAGCGGCCAACATGGCCGACCCGAGTTCGATTCCTCCGCCCCTCTCGGAGAGCCCGGCAAGCTACCGAGAGTATTCGATATGCCAGACACAGTAACAACAAAGTCTCCAATGGAGACGTTACTGGGCCCGCTCGAGCAAATCGACGATCAACGGGAGGGCCTTTACCTTTACCTTTACCTTTATCCTGCCTGCTCAGGTCAGCCCAGTGTAAATTCAGGAGATTTTTTCAAGAGTCAGAACCACGTTTTCATGAGAAAGATTCAGATATTCATCTCTGACTTTGAAGGTAGAAGGAAGTCACTAGCCAAGGAATGCTGGCAGTCTGAAAGCTAAAAAGGATTTTATTTGTTTCATTTTTCTTTGGGATCATACTTGGTATTGCCCAAGCGCTCTGTGCTTAGGGGATGTCCAGAGTACTTTGGGAAGCTTGCAGTGGCAGAGATCAAGCATGGCAATCCAGCCCTTTGAGCTCACTTCTCCTACCCAGAAAAGATTTAAAAAAAAAAAAAAAACTGTTTCTCCTGAAGAGTCTCCAGGAAGTAACTGTTCTGCAGACACCTTGATTTTTTAGCCCAGGAAGACTCATTTTAGAACTGTCTAGCAATACATTTGCTTTACTTTAAGCTACTGTATCTGCTGCAATCTGTCCCAGCAGCAAATAGCAGGGCTTGGAGGGGAAAAAAAGAACCCAGTATTGCTTTCCACCATGGAATGCAGCATGACAGGTGGATGGATGAGCTTTGCTGCTTAGCTGTTGAGCACTCTTAAAGATGCAAGTTCATTCACCTTTCAATTGCTCCTCCTGAAGTTGTGTACTATTCCTTTTTTGCCTCCAGGGGAACTCAAACTGCCTTATTTAGCAACAGAGAACTCTGTTAATTAAAGTGACTCCTAGAAGTCACAGTAACTTGTTACTCTGATACGATACATTTGATCTCTGTGGTTCATTCATTGATAATTTGTTATCATCACTGTACCAGGATATATACCAAGTTCAGTTTTATTTTGAAAAAGACTTATGGCCTAATGCATGGTACAGAAGTTAACTGGCACAGAGGGAAGGATTTTATGCTAGGGTCTTTCTTCTTTCTTTCTCTCTCTTTCTTTCTTTCTTTCTTTCTTTCTTTCTTTCTTTCTTTCTTCTCTTCTTTCTTTCTCTTTCTTTTTCTCCTTCCTTCTTTCTCTCTCTTCCTTTCTCTCTCTCTTCCTTTCTCTCTCTCTTCCTTTCTCTCTCCCTTCCTTCCTTCCTTCCTTCCTTCCTTCCTTCCTTCCTTCCTTCCTTCCTTCCTTCCCCTCCCTCCCTCCCTCCCTCCCTCCCTCTTTCTTTCTTTCTTTCTTTCTTTCTTTCTTTCTTTCTTTCTTGTTTTTGGGTCACACCCACTGGTGCTCAGGAGTTACTCCTAGCCCTGTACTCAGTAATCACTCCTGGCAGGCCCAGGGGATCAGATGAGGTGTCAGGAATGAACCCTGGTCAGTTACATACAAGGCAAGCACCCTATCTGTTGTACTGTCTCTCCCGCCATAGGGTCTTCCTTAGATTCACTAATACCTACAGTGATTTTGTGACTTATCTTATTACTCATAAGTTTTGTTCTCTCTTTGAAAAGCACAAATTAATGCAGTGGTAACAATAATGACATCTGGATACTTACTATGTACCAGAGAGATGTCTAACACTTTGCATTCATTATCCTGATTCATCCTTACCGCTGCTGCCATCTCTTCTTATTAAATTATTCTTCCATTACTTTTATTCATGATTCTGTAAATTTTAAAAAGCTACTTGATATTTATATATTTACTTCCTCCCTAGTTTAATATCCTTTCTGCTAATCTGGATGAACCCTAAAGAGTAACAGATCAAGATTTTAACTGAATGAATGAATGCATGCATGAGAACTTCCAGCCTGAAAAGAGAGGGAGACCACATTATTCACAGGTGCTTTCTGATGCCTGGAATACTAGAGGCACAGAGTTTAAAGTGACAAAATTATCACCTTATGTTAGTGTCACAAATCTCGGCTATTTCTCTGGGGAAACTTAACTATTTACTGATTTATTTCTTTAGGAGCCTTATTATGTGCGTTGCATCAAACCCAATGACAAGAAATCCCCCCAGATATTTGATGCTGAGCGCTGTCAACACCAAGTCGAGTATCTTGGACTGTTGGAGAACGTGAGGGTGCGACGTGCAGGCTTTGCTTTCCGCCAGCCATATGAGAAGTTTCTTCACAGGTAAGAAAGGTGTTGGGAAGATCCGCCCAGGATGGGAGATGCATGCTGAAAGTAGACTATAGACCGAACTTGATTGCCACTCAATGCCTCTTTTGCAAACCACAGAACCCAAAAGGAGAGAGAGAACAAAAGGGAATGCCCTGCCACAGAGGCAGAGTGGGATGGGGGGATGGGGGGTGGGAGGGATACTCTGATCATTGGTGGTAGAGAATGGGCACTGGTAGAGGGATGGGTACTTGATCATTATATAACTGAAACCCAAGCACAAAAATTTGTAAGTCTACAACTGTATCTCATGGTGTTCCACTAATAAAAATTAAAAAGAAAAAAAAGAAGAACCCAGGGAAGCCTGGGAGCATGCTGAGAAGCACGGGGTTCTCCTGTGTAAGGCCACACAGCAGCACTTTCATATTGGTAAGAAGCCAATGCAGAAGTCTTTCCTGTGCCATGTTGGGTCAGAAATTGAACTTCTTTGACTCGATTTCATTCAGTGTTTTCAATCTCTACTCACTTTGAGTGTAGGTACACACCTCCCTCATGAAGCTGTGGATGCAAGGATTAAATTCGGCTAACTTCAAAGCCTCGATGATTAGCAGATAATAGATATTTAATACTGCTTATCACAATGATTATTGGTGATTATAATAAAAAAAACAAACACTGTCCTCCTGTTGTTCATCGATTTTGCTCAAGCGGGCCCAGTAACGTCTCCATTTTGAGACTTCTTGTTACTGTGTTTGGCATATCAAATACGTCACGGATAGCTTGCCAGGCTTTGCCATGTAGGCGAGATACTCTCAGTAGCTTGCTGGACTCTCCGAGAGGGGCAGAGGAATCGAACCTGGCTCGGCTGGGCAGGCTGCTTGCAAGGCAAACGCCCTACCACTGTGATTATAATAGCATAATAAAATACACTGTAGATGTGCATAGACGCTTTGTAGACTACAATCTAGCTGGTTTGCATCATGGCTTTGCCATTTCCTAGTTTGTGAGGTTAACCAAATCACAAAGCCTTTCTGTACCTCAATTTCCTCATCTGTTAATAAGAATAATCATTATAACTACTTAGCAGATTGCTAGAGAAGTAGAGGAGTTAATAGATATAAAAAGCAATTAAAGGTAAAGGGTAAAGGCCCTCCCGTTGATCGTCGATTTGCTCGAGTGGGCCCAGTAACGTCTCCATTGGAGACTTTGTTGTCACTGTGTCTGGCATATCGAATACTCTCGGTAGCTTGCCGGGCTCTCCGAGAGGGGCGGAGGAATCGAACTCGGGTCGGCCATGTTGGCCACTTGTAAGGCGAACGCCCTACCACTGTGCTATCGCTCCAGCCCATAAAAAGCAATTAGAGGGAATAAAAGATAGCACAGCAGTTAGGGCACTTGCCTTGCATGTGGCTGAGCCAGGTTCAATCCCTGGCACCCCATATGCTCCCTCAAGCCCTGCCAGGAGTGATTCCTGAGTGTTAAGTCAGGAGTAAGGCCCTGAGCACTGCTGGTGTGGCTTCAGAAAACAAAACCATAGATAGTTAGATAGATAGATCACAATCACAATCACAACCATCCTGTTTTTCATCGATTGCCTCGAGCAGTCCCCAGTAACGTCTCCTTCGTCCTAGCCCTGAGATTTTTTAAAAAGTGCCATATTCAAGGCTCTTTCAGAGTTAGGAGAATGAGACCCTTCATTGTTACTGGTATTTGGCATATTGGGTACGCCACGGGGAGTTTGCCAGACTCTGCCATGTGGGCAGGTTACATTCGGTAGCCTGCCAGTTTGTCCAAAGTAGGAATGAGATGATAAGATGTTGCGTGGCTGCATTTGCGGCCGCGCACTTCCCGGGAGCTGGGTTTGATAGATAGATAGATAGATAGATAGATAGATAGATAGATAGATAGATACACATATATATGTATATATATGGTGTGTGTACACACACACGCACATATAATAGTATCTGGCAAGTAGAAGTCACCTAATATGAGAGATCGTTGCTGTTATTTGTGATAATGATAGCTGTCAACTTATATGCATATTTTAAATTCCATCTATTGATTTGTTTTAAATATTTAAGAATATTTTCTGTGCCCTAAATGAACATAAAATATGAGTAATTCTGTTTTCTTTAAAAAAAAAAAACCTGGAAAATGCAGGAATTAAAATAGATTAGTTGGTCAGAATAGTCTCTAAGGGGATAGTAAGGAAAGGAATAATGACAGAAAATAATGACAGGAAAAAGTCGGTTTCTCTAGTCTCAGAAGATTAGAGAAATGAGCTGACAAGGCACAGGGGAAAGGCTGTCTTGCAGTAGAAGAGTGGATTTTATTTTTTTCAAAAGTGGATTTTCGATCCTTAATAGTATAGTCGGAAGGTGCTGAGTGACAGCAGTGGTATGACAAGATTGGAGATGGGCAGATTATGTTGAATTTTATGAACCAGCGTAAACGGTTTAGATTTTGGTGAAGTCTGCTAGACAGCCACGGATGGATTCTATTCAGGAAGCAGCCTGATGTGTAAGAGAGGATATTTGAGAGATTTCTTTGCATGCTATGGGAATAGAAAGCAAGGAGGGTCCTAGGGAGATGACTTAACGTTAGTAGCTTGGAAATGGGGATTATTGTGGATCTTAGAGTAATGAATAGACTTAAGATATGTTTTAGAGGCAAGTTGATGAGACTTGCTTATGAATTGGCTAGATGAGAGAAGAGTAGAAACAATGGAAGGAAAGGCAATAGACTTTGGCTTGCGCATGTGATTAAGCATGAAACTATGCTGAGATAAGGAGCATAAGTTTGAAGATGGGATATGGAACTGGGCAGAGATGGATAAAGATTTGTCTCTTGACCAATGCCTACTAAGACGCGAGGTAGAAATCTGAAGTAAGCTATTTGATCTTCACATGTGGAATTTCAGGGAGAAATTTAGGTTTCAAAGAGAACTTAATTTTGGAGTCATTAGTGTATTGATTATATATAAAGTCTTAGAACTGGAGAGAAGAGGAATAGACCCTTGTTAACATTCAGGTTTGTGATAATGCCCAAAAGTGGGGGGGGAGAGGGAGAGAGAGAGAGAGAGAGAGAGAGAGAGAGAGAGAGAGAGAGAGAGAGAGAGAGAGAGAGAGAGAGAATACAAGAATACAGTGAGTAGGGCGTTTGCCTTGCACGCAGCAGACCTAGGTTCAAACCCCGGGATCCCATATGGTCCCCTGAGCACCACCAGGAGTAACCCCTGAGCATCGCTGGGTGTAACCCCCCCTCCAAAAAAAAAAAAGAAACTGGAGACTTTGGTGGTGGGAAATTACACTGGTGAAAGGTGTTGGAACATTATATGACCAAAACCCAATCATGAACACTTTGTAACTGCATCTCGGGGTGATTTAATAAAAAATAAAAGTTTTACATAAAAATAAAAACATTCAGGTTTGTAGGGGCTTGAGTACAACAGGTAGAGCACTTGCCTTGCATGCAGCCAACTGGATTCCATCTCCGGCATCCCATATGGTCCTTTGAGCCCACCAGGAGTGATCCCCGAACACTGAGCCAGAAATAAACCCTAAGCAACATCATGTGTGGCCCCAAAACAAAAAAATCAGGCTTGTGGTCTGGCATGAAGAGATCAGGGAAGAGAATGAATAACCAGTGAATCAGAAGAGGGCTATGGGGGCTGGAGAGACAGTTCAGCAGGTAAGGTTCTTGCCTTGCTCATGCCTGACCTAGGTGTGATTCCTGACATGACATATCCCCTGAGTGTCTCCCAGAGTGATCCCAAGCACTGAGTCAGGAGGAAGCCCTGAAGCACAGCTTGGTATGGCCCGAAAATCCCCAAAGCAAACAAAAGAAACAGAGGAATGATGTTATGTTACAAAAACCAGAAGAGAGTGTTGTAAGAGGAAACATGCAGTTACTTTATCAAAGATTGGTGTACAGTCAGAAAAGATAAAAGTGAGAATTTAGGTGCCAGCATGTATAATCTCTCAGGGTGGCCAGGGAAGGCCACAGCGGCTCTTCCCCTTGCCACCCATGTTCGGGGGGCCTTCGGCCACTCACCCAGCTGGGGCAGCCCAGACCATGGGGCAGACAGAGGAGCAAATGAGGGCCAAGCTGGTTGATTGATCAATTGCCATTTATTCCATTCTCCCCACATGCCTGTTCCAGTATCTCTGAGCCCCCCATTCTAGTCTGACACTGCCCCTCATTTCTGTCTCCTACTGTCTCTCCCGCTCATCTCAGTGCTCCATCTTGCTCCCTGCTCTCTCTCTCTCATCGCTCCCAACTGTCTCCAACTCCCCAGCACTGGGGGCAGACACTAAACCCAGTCCCTTAGCAAAATCAACATAAGAAAGCCCTTCTTGACAGCCCATCAGGCTCAATACTACCTAGGGGAGTTCCTCTTCTCCTTAGTCCAATAACTCTATTTAATGTCTTAATTAGTATCTTAATTCTACTTCTTAATATTAGTTATTTTGTATGGACACAGTAAGAGATACACTGAACTTGTAGCGTGGCTCTCCTGGGAACATCTCGCCAATGACTCAGACTGCAGTGCCCAGGCCAGATTAATCTCTCCCAACCCCTAACAGGGTCCAAATCTTGCTATTACTTTTTGATCATGACAGCATTTGTCCATGACCATGTTCTTAACTTATAGTTAAGCATTATGGCACTTTGACCAGGCCCATTTCGATGCCAGGGTATCACATAGCTCACCACTCGCCCTGGGTCCATCCAGTCCCCCGTTGGGACCCTGCTTTTGGGGTGTTAGGAAGTAAGGGCAGCGAGGCTTAGGTCAAGAGAACAGATGTCCAGGAGGAAAATATCATCTGGAGTCAATTACCTCCCATGTTACAAAAGCATAGCACCAACTTTCCTCCCGTGCCCATACAAAAAGGACATTGCTCCAAATTAACCATGTAAAGGACTTAAGGAGAAGAGAAAAACAATATTTACAAGTTAACAGAGCACAAAGAAAGAAGTTGCAAATAAACGCAGAGAAATAGGAGCACTGTGATGGAAGTAACCCAGTAAACCTAAGCTCCCTGCAGCAAGGCAGAAAGGACAAACCAATGTTATCCTACACCAGCAATTCAATGGAGCTGGAGCATGTGCTTCATACATGTAATGGCTGGAGAGTGCCTCTCAGGACTGCGTAGGGTGTGTGGGGGAATCAAACTCATGGTCTCAAGCATGCAGGTCTCAGGCTACCTACCACTGAACCACATCTCCAGACCCTAAAATATTTAACATTTTTGTTTTTTTTAAATAAAATAGTTACTTCAACAGAATGGGTATAGAAGGAACCTACATCAATATAATAAAGACCATAAAAACCCACAGCCAACACAGGGGTGAAAACCAGAGTCTTTGCTCCAAGGTCAAGCACAAAACAAGGATATCCACTCCCACCACTATTATTGAACATAATATTGGAAATCCTACTGCTGTTTGCAATAATTCGTACATGGTATTAAATATAAGACACTAAAGACTCTTCCCAAAAAAAACTCCTAAAAACAATAAACCTATACAATAAAACCTAAACCTATATGATAAAACCTAAACCTAAACAACAAACCTGTACAATAAACCAATAAAAAATTGGCAGACTACAAAATCTGTACACAAAAATCTATTGCATTTCCATATGCAAATAATGGTGTAACAGAGAAAGAAAAAAAATTAGTCCCATTTACAATTATATATATATATATTTTGCTTTTTGGGTCACACCTGGCGAAGCTCAGGGGTTACTCCTGGCTCTGCACTCAGGAATTACTCCTGGTGGTGCCCGGGTAACCATATGGGATGCTGGGAATCGAACCTGGGTCGGCTGTGTGCAAGGCAAACACCCTACCCGCTGTGCTATCACTCCAGCCCCTACAATTATATTTTTAAATCAAGTACCTAACTCTGTCAGGTGGACTCAAGTGGCGCTCACCTGCTTGAGAGAAGGTGGATATGGGAGGCATGATGAGCAGCAGAATCAAATTCAATTCCTGCCAGACTTAGAAATGTTCTCTGACTACAAACTAAAGCTCCTAGAAGAGAGTGCCGCAGAATTTCCTGGAGAGTGTAGCCGCATTTGCGCCCACACGACCTCTTACACTCTACCTCACTTACTTATCAAAAGTATCACACATTTGTTTGGTTTCTAACATACTTGCTTGTACTCTCTTATATTCAGGCTTGAAGGACTCCAGAATGAAATATAATAACCTGACACACTTTTTTCTTATTGTGGTGGGAAGGTGATCGGTAGTGGGATTGGTGTTTGAATATTACCTGTAATGAACTATTGTAAACCACTTTTATGAAAATAAAATATATAAAAAAAAAAACCAAAAAAAATCAAGTACCTAGGCATCAATGAGTGAGGTGAAGGACTTATTTAGTGAAAACTATAGCATTGTAGCACTGTCCTCTTGTTGTTCATCGATTTGCTCGAGCGGGCCCAGTAACGTCTCCATTGTGAGATTTGTTGTTATTGTGTTTAGCATATCGAATATGTCATGGGGAGCTTGCCAGGCTTTGCAGTGCGGGCGAGATGCTCTCTGTAGCTTGCCAGGCTCTCCGAGAGGGGCGGACGAATCGAACTCTGGTTGGCCATGTTGGCTTCGTGTAAGGCAAATGCCCTACCACTGTGCTATCTCTCCAGTTATAAGTGTGCTGTAAATCACCGTTAAAAGAAATTACAGAAGACAAAAAGAAATGGAAAAATATTCTATGTACATAGATTAGAACAATTAACATTGTTAAAATGATCACCCTGCCCAAAGCATTATACAGATTCAGTGAAGGAAAATAAAGTTCATGCTTAGAATTTTAGTCCATGCAAAATTAACTTCTCAGTTTTCTCTTAATTCTAACAATCTGTCAAGGATCTGTGTCATCTCCTTGAAGCCAGTCAGATTGTTCCCAAGTAATGTGAGTTTAGGTCTTCCTCTGTCACTAAACGGTTAGTTTATTGGTCTCTCTGACACAGGCATCTTTGTCTTTGTCTTGTTTGTAAGGAGAACGTTCCCCCACTGTAAACCACAGGATCTCAATTAAAAAACAATCATTTTATTCCAATAAAAATTATTTTTAAAAATAATATTTTTTTCTAAAAAAGGAGAATGTTCCCAGGCTTGCCTCTTTACAAATGCTGTTTGTATTCATTTTTGGTAAACAGACTTTATTAGATCAAGATAGTATCTTTGTTTCCCAGTTTAGTTGTTTTAAAGAGTGTTGCATCTTATTGAAAGCTTTTTCTTCATCTCTTATCAGCCTAATAAATTTTACTTCTATTTCTAGTTTATTAAGAAACTTTGGTCCTTTTCTTTCTGTGATGTTACCTGGATTTTATTGAATAGCTTTTCTACCTTTATCGTGACTGTGTGATTTTACTCCCATAATTTGATCCCTGATATTTTTCCCATCCAGGTACAAGATGATCTCTGAGTTCACCTGGCCCAATCATGACCTCCCCTCAGACAAAGAGGCTGTGAAAAAGCTGATTGAAGGGTGTGGCTTTCAGGATGATGTGGCCTATGGCAAGACTAAAATTTTCATTCGAACACCCCGAACATTGTTTACCTTGGAAGAACATCGTTCCCAGATGCTCCAAAGGATTGTCCTTTTTCTGCAAAAGGTAATGTCATGTTTTATGTTTAAAGACAGGTCCTAGGAGGCCAGTGAGCTGGCACAGCAGGCAAGATGCTGATCTTACATGCAACCAGCTCAGATTTAACTCCCAGCATCATGTAACATCCCCCAAGCCTTAATAGCCACACTGAGCCTCCAGGTGTGGCCCCAAACCAAAAAAAAAAAAAATACAGGCCTTGCTTCTATGTTTTCTTTGTTGGGGGACACAGGAGAGCATCACACTTGGCAAGCTCTGAAGCTACTCACAGTTCAGTGCTTGGTCACTCCTGGTGATGCTGGGATTCGGGCCAGGAACTGCCACATGCAGAGCATGACCTCCAGTCCTTTGAACTCTCTCCCACTGTGTGCTCTTAGTATGCAAAAATTTGGTTTGATTTCTTTGATTCAAGAGTGTTCAGAGAGGCCGGAGTGATAGTCCAGCGGGTAGGGCATTTGCCTTGCATGCAGCTGACACGGGTTCAATCCCCAGCATCCCATATGGTCCCCCATGCACCACCAGGAGTAGTTCCTGAGTGCAGAGCCAGGAGTAACCCCTGAGCATTGCTAAGTGTGACCCAAAAAGAAAAAAAAAGTGTTCAGAATGATATGCTTTTTGTATACCAGTATACACACATCTTAGATTGTTGCTCTCTTACATGGAAAACTTAGCTGTATAAACTCAGTTATTTTAGATTCTGCATTCAAAAAGCATTTTGGTTTCTTGGTACTTTAAGCTGGAATGATGCCCGATTTCCCCACCCCCACCCCCAGAACAATGTGTAATGTACTTTTTTTTTTAAATTTTGTATCAATAGTTTGGGAAACATGTTGGAAACCACTTTCTTTACCCATCATTTTCCATATCAGCACTTGACTGAGGTGTGAACTGAATGGTGCTCATTAGATGGTAGTGTCTGTCGTCACAGATCTGCTCAGAACCCTTATTTTATTCTCCCTCATGTATTTCATTTATCGCAACACTTTGGTTTCCATACCTATTTATTATATGAACCATTTTATTTGGGAGAAGGATTTGGGAATGGAGGATAAGGCTTCGGCCACATCTAGTGATGCTTAGGAGCATTTCCTGGCTCTGTGTTCATGAGTGACCCCTGACAATACTCAGGAACCATATGCAATGCTGGGCATCAAACCCTGGTCACTCATATGCAAGAAAGAAGCACCCTACCTTCTGTATTACCTCCCTCCCTGGCTCTCATATGAATCATTTTAATGGTTTTTTTTCAAGTATATGTACGTTTTCCTAAATTATGTGCATCTATGAAAATGTCTTTGGGGATATAACCAAGAGGAAAGTTGCTGTATCATAGAACTTTAGTTATCTTAGCTTCCTCTCTAGCATGCCTGCAATTTGTGTCATCACCAGCTATGCATGGGATCACAATGTTCTCCTTATGTGTGTGTGTGTTCCTTATGTTACAATTTTAATGAGAAATAAAATCCTATTTCTACATAGTACCAAAAGAAAACTTCCTATCACTCTCAATACCCTTCACTATTTCCTACAGTTGTCCTTATAGTAGCAAACTAACAGCTTGGTTATCCCTCATTTTGACTTTATATATTTCCAATCACCATTGAATATGAGCACCTAATATGTATTTTCTTTTAGTGCTTTTCTGTAAATTGCCTATTCATAACTTGGGTCCATTTTCCTACCAGAGTTACTATCATTTTCTTGTTGCTTAAAGGAACTGCTTGAATATTTTAGAATTAATCCATTAAGGTTTACAAGTGCATTTTCAAATTCTTAGGACATTCTAAGGTGCTTTGACCATCATATGCTTTGGGGAAGAGCATTTAATTTGACACAGTTGAATTTAATTTTTACCTTACATTTGTCCTTTGGAATTTTGGTGAAAAGGATTTTTCTGGTCTGCAGATCACAGAAATCCTGTTTCTTATTTTCTTCTATGGACTCTACAAATTTGCCTCTCACACTAAGTTTTTTTTTTCTTTTTGGGTCACACCTGACAATGCACAGGAATTACTCCTGGCTCATGCACTCAGAAATTACTCCTGGAGGTGCTTGGGGGACCATATGGGATGCTGGGAATCGAACCTGTGTCGGCCACGTGCAAGGCAAACGCCCTACCTGCTGTGCTATAGCTCCTGCTCCTCACACTAAGTCTTTAGTTCTTTTAAAATTCATCTCTGTTTCTGGATTTTAAATAGGATTGGAGGGCCAGAAAGACCCAGTTTCAGTTCCTAACACTGGTAGGTCCCCTGAGCACTGTCATGAGTCATTCCTGAGTGCACAGCCCGATGTAAACCCAGAGCACAGCTGGGCTTGACCTAAAAACAAATGGCTAACTAAATAAATAATAATGCAGTTTGTTTTATTAAATAAGGTGAATTGTCTCAATGTCACCTACTAAATAACCACTCCTTTTCTCATTGACTTGTGCTGCCATGTTTGTCATTTAATTCCCAGGTGTATACACACACACAACACACACACACACACGCAGTCTTTTTTACTTCATGTTCTTTTCTTTCCATTTTATATTTGCCTGGTTTTGCATAAAAGCTATCGTTTTTATTACAGTGTGTCTTACTCAGTGGTAGGTTGAACCTATTTTCTCTATCAGGTCTTTATTAAATTGATTAACCTATATGTAAAGCTTTATTCTGCAATATAAATTTTTATGTGTGTTTATTGGGTTCATTAAATTCAACAGTCTTTGTTATTAGGATTGCATGTATACATTGAATTTAGAGATTAATTTGAAGTGATTACATTTTTTGTAATGTTAGCTCATCTTAAAAATACAAGAGTTTATTTTAAATTACTTCATTGGTCCTTAGGTATAAAGAGGCCTTATGAATCCATGGTTAATTCCTACATATTTTACTGCTGTTGTTGCTGCTGTGGATTTGGGGGAGGGGAACCTCAAATAGTGCTCAGGGGACTGGGATGTTAGTTGAATGTTCAGATCCAGTGAATGCAGAACTGCTTGGGCCTAGTGCTTCTTTCTGGAAGCCATCAGGGTCATACCCAGAACAGGGCTCAGGGGCCAGCAGGAGTGCTTGGGGAACCCTGCAGTGCTGGGGTTTGGACTCCAGACATCCACATGCCAGGCATATCCTGGTCCTTTGAACTATCTCTCTAGCTTCAATAGCTATTAATTTCTTAGTATGTTTTCTACATGGCAGAGCTGGTGCAGAGAAATTATATTGGCTTATGTTGGTTTGTATGTATCCAGAATGAAACTCTTCTTCATATTTGTTGATCCTAAGATTTTTCCTCTCTTCCAACTGCCAACACGTTGGTGTTGGATTCTTCCATTTATTCTGCCTGAAACTCAGAAAAAAAATTGTTTGTATTGGAAGACTAAATTCTGTTTCTTTCCGAAATATTTTTCTTCAGCAATTGTTTTGTTTTAGTTTCTCTTTCTGGGAATTGAACTCAGGGCCTAACACATGAATGACACGGGTGCCACTACCCAGCCACATCCTCAAGTCCCTGTTAATTACTTTTTTGAATGCTTTAATTCAGTACCTTAAGATAGCTTGTAAATTTGAAGGTTGCATCTCTGTCATACATGTTATATTTAAGCATATTTTCTTCTGTGTATTCAGATTCTTTTAGTACTTCCTATAGTTCCTCTGTTGTTGTTTTAAATCAACAAAAATTATCTTTAGAAAGATAATGACAGATCTGGAGCGATAGTACAGTGGGTAGGGAACTGCCTTACACAGGCCCGACCTGGGTTCGATCCCCATTCCATATGGTCCCCAAGCACAGCCAGAAGTGATTCCTAACTGCAGAGCCAGGAGTAAGCCCTAAGCAATACCAGTTTCGCCCCACCCCCCAAAAAAGATAATGGCACTTATATTTACCCAAGAGGTTGACTTACTCTCAGGGCATGACCTAGTACCATGGTGACCATACCTCTTAATCTTCTTGAGACGGTTGGTCCTGGTTTATAGCCACTGTTTCTTGTAACTATCAGTAATACCACTTTCACTCTCCAAGGTGTTCCAATGTGGAGGCCTGAGTGATAGTACAGTAGGTAAGGTGCTTGCTCTGCACATGGCCAATCCAGGTTTGATCCCCAGTAGTAGCCTATATGGTTTTCCTGAGAGCCCCTGGAGCAAGCCCTTAGTGAAGAGTCAGGAGTAAACCCTGAGCACTGCCAGGTGTGTCCCCAAAACAAATAAATGATGTTCTAGTAGGAATAATATTCAGCTGTATACAGCTAAATACACCCTACTCTGCATTCACCTTCTGCCTTCTTGCTGTCAGTGTGCCACAGAATTCTCACACATGTCTGCAAGCCAGAGAGTCCTGCTCACCAACCCCTCACCAACGCCCCATGTCAGATGTGAAAAACTTTATATAACACAGCTGAACTCATACATAAAATTGCATGATTCCAGGTATTTCTTCCTTCTCCAGCTCTTCCCTCTCAGTCCTCTCTCCAGTGCTCTTGCTTGCCTTCTGGTGAAGAAGTTGTAGTTTCCACTTAGAGAAGAGAAAATCTAAAAGAAGTGATGGCGTGTTGCTTGCCTTGCAGGCTGCCAGTCTGAGTTCGATCCCCCAGCGTCCTATATGGTTCCCCGAGCAACCCCAGGAGTGATTCCAAGTGCAGAATCGGGCGTAACCCCTCAGCATCTCCAGGTGGGGCCCCCAAAATTTAAAAACAAAAAACAACCCCACTTGCCACGAAGAGAAAGCTGTCCTGTCTGCTCTTGTAGCGCTTGCATTTCTTACCCTCTGGGCAGTGGAGTAGAAAACCAGGTTCCTCCTCCCAGCTGCCAGCCTGACCACTGCAGGCAGTGATAGATGTGATCTCCATGTTACGTTCTCTAGACCAACTCTGAAAGCCATAAAATGAGAGGAAATTCCTGTCAGCTTCTGGGAGCAGATCATCAGTCACCTAACCTTCCATGGACTGTGTGTCTCCACTCTTCCTCTGTCCGTTTTAGGGCAAATGGGATAGTAAGGAGGGGCAGCATCAGGACAGGTGATTTTAATTGGTT